GAAGAGCGGAGGGTGGAAGGAGGGCACACACCTCCTCATCCAGGGCAAGAGCCAGGTGTGGCTGGGTTGGCAGTGGGTGTGGACGGCTGATTAGGCCACCTCCAGAGCCCAGAGGAAGCAGCAATCACTCCTCAAAGTGCAGGTAAATGGAATCACGGGGCCCAACCCCAAGGACGATGGGGAGCAAAGGGCACAGTGCCTCGCCCAGGGTGCATGTTCAGAACTTTTAAATTTTTTGGTGGAGGTGGGATGCAGTGGAAAATGGTGTAACTGAGCATGACCCTATGGGGCCTTCCTGGGACAGAACCCCCCACCACCTCCCATGTCCTCTGCCTGCCTCTTCTTGTTTGTAGAAAAACTGTAGCCTCCTAGGCCTTCCCCAAATTCCAAAGAATGGATTTAATCAGAGAAGGGAGAAAACGCAGAAAGAAAGGAAAACAGTCAAACAAGACAAAATAATAATAGTTCAGACATTAAACAAAGTTAAACAAAATAATAATAGTTCAGACATTAAACAAAGTCAAGGACATTTAGTTCCTCCTCAAGGGCTATGGATAATATTCTGAGCCGTGTCCTTTGAGCTGTTTTGCAGACACTGAAACCCCTACCAAGTGGAAGAAGTTAACTGTATGCTGCCCACAAGCACGTAGACCCCAGACCGGTTGGAACCAGGTTGATAATGTCAACTCTCGATTACCTCACCACCAGCCAATCAGAAGAATGTCCGTGAGCTGATCACGCACCCCACAACCCTGTCTCTCACCCTCTCTTTAAACACCTTGCCCTGAAAGCCATCAGGGAGTTTGGGCCTTTTAAGCGCTAGCTGCCTGGACTCCTTGCTTGGAGCCTGCAATAAACGCTGCCCTTTCCTTCACCACAATCTGGTGTCAGTAGATTGACTTTACTGCGCGTGGGCAAGCAGACCCCAGTTTGGTTCAGTAACATGTCCAGGGTGGGTGGTCTTGTTAAATGGTGAGGGATGGTCTAGGACAGGTGGAGGCTCTAGAGCCCTGCATCCCATCCAGGTGGCCTCTGCAGAGGACCAATAGCTTGGGCTTGGGTTGGGGTAGGCACAAACGTCTCCAGAAATGAAAGAGCTTTGCAGGGCTTGCTCCATTCATTCAGACAGGTGGCTCTGGAACAGGGAAGAGAACTGGACCCCAAGTGAGAGGACCCAGCAGGATTGTGCTCCCCGACTCAGTGGTGTGTGAGAGTTTGGGTCAGCCTCCTACCCCACTAGCCAAGTGCAGGGCTGGGGTAGGTACCAGGGCAGCAGCATGATCAGCAACCCTCTCCCCCACCCCGGGCTTATAAACCCAAGGACTGAGGGTTCTGCCTGCCCCGCAAGGGGCTCCCCTGGCCAGACCCACCCTCACCTTCCTCTTGCTTCAGTGTGAGGTGCTCTGCCGACCTCTCCTCCCAGATCTGACACACCTTCAGGAGACAGTGTTCTTCCAGCTCCTGCCTGCAGAGGACAGAGCCCGGGCAAAGGGCACACATCCGGCCACCCACCCCGGCCCTGCACCGAAAGCTAGGGGCAGGTGATGGGGAGCCAAGGCAGAGGGGGTCATGGGAGGAACCCTGGGGGAGGCTTTAAGAGGTCAGGAGAGTCTACGAGTGACCCAGAGGAGGAGCAAGGCAGAGGTATGGGGAGTCTAAAGGGGGTTAGAGAGAGAAAGGGGGTTGGCAGTGAAAAAGGGGCCTAGATATGAAAGATCAAGAGCTGGGAAAGACAGAGAGGAGACAGAAGTGAGGGGAAATGGAGGGGGGGCACATGGGAGGGAACAGACAGGTGCAGTGACAGGGACAAGGATCTGGAAGAGAGTAGCCAGGGGCCCTGGGACCAGGCGCTGATCCCAGACACCCTTTCTGGGGTGGCTCCTACCGTGCTTTGGGGTAGTTCAGGCTCCTCTCCCCGCTGTGGTGCAAAAGTTCTGTCTTTCTCCAGCCCAGGTCTGACGCAGGGACCGGCAGGACCGTGATGGGCGCTGAAGTTGGGGCTCCCATGGGGGCAGGAAGTGGCCCAGGGGCTGGAGGTCGGGCCCAGCATGGGGCCATGGCAGGAGCTGAGGCAGGGTTGGGGCTGAGTTGCCAGCCGGGGCAGAGACGGGCACGGGGGCCAGGGTCCCGGGGGACTTCCGGTTTGGCAGCGCGCGGGCCTTGGTGACCCTCCGACGCGTGACCTTCTCCTCTTCCACCTCCAACAAGCACTTCATGAAGCCCAGCCGGGGGGTGCCAAGGTTCTGGGTCCCCGTGGCCCCCACGGGATCCTGAGGCTGCTTCTGGGTATGGCCCATCTCCCTCCTCACTCCGTTGTCCCTCGCCTCCTGGGGACAGGACCGGGGAGGGGATTTGGGAGGCCTCCGGCCAGCCAGATTGTCCCGCAGAACTTCTCCCAGCCACCCACTCTGCAGCGGATCCTCACCCTGCCCCTCCCTCTCTGGGCCCGTGGCGAGGCCCACCTCTCTCCTGCAACCTACTAGGCTCCCACCCCATGTCCTCCCCCACCCCTGACCTGGGCTCTGCCCCCTCCTGGCTCTCTGAGCTGTGGTCCTGAGCGAGTTACTCCCCTTCTCACCACTTGTTTATTTGCTTCACTGCAATCAACACAATTTGCAATGGCCCTGTCCCTGCCTGTTGTTTGCCTGCCTGACCAGAAATAAGTTTCCAGAGGGTAGGACCTCATCTGCCTCTTTTATCCATATTGACCCAGCAGCCAGCTTGTGGTAGGCACTCGATAAATTCCCACTCATTCATTCAGCAAATGCAGCACCTCCTGCATCCGTCCCGTTAGAGGGATGAGCTGTCCCCTGCCCGCCTCCAACCAGACCGTGCCACGCAGGATCCAGCCCAGCCCTTTCTCCGGTTCAAAGATGTAGCTCTCACCACACACCCGCTCT